TATAAAATTAATATTTTTATCTACATCTTTTCTCATCCTTATCCTCTCTACCACTGCTCTCCATTTTCCTTCAAAATAAACATATCCTTTGTTTAAGTACTTGAGTTTTTCTCCTTTCTTTGGGTCCTGTTAGGCTGGAAGCCTTGAACATTAAAGAAAATGGGCATGCGCCACTCGACAAGTTGGCATGCCATTTCTTAATTAAACTATAGATATATTAATTAACAATCGTCGTACTACAAAATGTTAAAAAAAGACTTGGCTAATATCATTTGCATTGACCTAAGAGACCCCACCAATTTTGAACTTGAATGGATAGTTGGATGATTCTAAGTTCGTTCCTAGATTTTGCACTGCACTTTCCATCCTTGTTCCAAGAACGAATGAAATTGCAAGGAAAATTCTGCCTAAATCTCCTTTCTTCTGTTTCCCTTTTTTTAGTCCTTTTTTCAGAAGAATCACAAATAAACTCCAGATTACGTAGTAATTTTCAACTCACACATCAATTAACGAACAAACGTATAATCATTGAACCACCTTAATATATAATTTAAAGAAATCTTATAAGATAATTTTTTATATTATTTTTTTATATAACTTTCATATGTTATTAAATAAATAGATATATTTAATATTATAAATCTTACATAAATTAAAATTTTAATTATTTAAATAACACATCAAATTATATTAAAAAATAATCTCAAAATTATTTTCTTATAACTTAAGCTATCATGTCTAATTTGATTATAAAAAATTTATTTAAACTTAAAATATCGAACTCATAAAACAGCAATTTAGGCAGATATGGCTAGATGCTGAAGAAGGCTGTGACTAACTACTATCACGGAAATAAGTTTTTAGATTTTATTTCAAGATTTATAAGTTAATTTTTTTTTGAGTATGTATACTAAATTTAGCATATTAAGCATATAAACCATACTAAATTTTAAAATAATTATACGTGTGCGTATTTATATATATATACACACACAATAAGATGTACGTAATTAATTTATCTTTTTATGGAAATAAGAATCAAATTTCCACAAGCAAATTCCTCATACGTAACAACATTTTCTTTCTTTTTGAGAAAGAGAAGACAAAAATCAAAAGGCTTAACAAAGCTAAAAGCAAGAAAAACTCACAAAAAAGTGACCAAATTAATCAAGGCCAGAAAATTCCCCAGAATCAGCAGAACCAAGCTGCAGCATCCCTGCTTTGGAGCCATGGAACCGAGTGCAATGTCCTTCTTCTTCTTTGGAAGAACCATAGAACCATTCCCATCAACTACTACTTTTGCCCCCACCATGATATTATGCCTCTTACTCCTCAAAAACATGACCTTGAACCTCACGGCCGTCACCAAATCTATCCGGAAAACCGCCGTTGCGTTAGGGAAAAGCCCCTGGGAAATCACGGTCATGTTATAGTCCACATGACCCGGTTTCTTAGCCGTCTTTCTATACCCCTGGTGAAAGCGCTGGATCGTAGTGTCCCCCAGGAGGTGAGACGACTGGGACCCGTTTCCCACGGCGTCGAACACGGTGACGTTGACCTTCACGTCGTTGTAGTTAATACCGATGCCGCTGTTGGGGTTTTCCAGCTTCAGATTGAAGTACAACGTGGAATTGGTGGTGGAGTTCAGGGTTCTGTTGAGCGCCGGCAGGTAGAAGTAGTCGACGGAGCATTTGGGGTTGTCAGCTTTGAAGACCTGCGAAGTGCAGATAGCGCCGCCGAATAAGATGAGGAAGAATAATACGCAGCTGCAGCCGCAACAACATTCCTTCTTGTTAACCGGCCTACCACCCCCTGTTAGAAACCTTCTGGCTGAGATTCGAGCCATTTCAACTTGGGTTCTGTTCTCCGGTGAGGTTCTTAGTAACGGAGATGAATACATAGACCATTTCATTTGTGCTTTGGAGCATTTTAAAAGGACTTATTGCCATTTTTTTATTTTGGATGGAGACATGATAAGGTTACTCGCATTTTTCACTTTGTTGATCACAAAGTATAATGAAGATTTGATGGTGAGATTAGGTGATCGTGTTCTTGCTGTGAGTTTAGTGTAGCCTTGTCAATTATGGTTATGGGCTCCAGAATCTAACCAATAAAGGGCATGACCGTCACATGGTATTTTTATAAGTCTTTTTTAATATTTTTCTTATCATTTGTTAATATTTTTTTATTTGATAAATCTACTTTTTTTACCTTTACTTTTTGTTTTCTATTCATTAGTTTCAACCTAACATTTTTTAACTATTCTTTGTTGAATTTAATTTAATTTATCTGCCACTTTTATTTTCTGCACGTTCTTTTTATCATGCGCTCTTCTTTTTTTT